TATATCTCCCAGTCAAAATACCAACAGCATCTCTCACACAGCTAGCAAAAATAATCCAAAAATTCATATGGAATCAGGACAGACCCAAAATAGGAAAAGCAGTTCTGGATAAAAATATGAAAGCAGGAAGTGTCACAATTGCTAATTTGAAGTTTATTTTGGCTCATAGTTTGTAGAGGATTTAGTCTATAGTGGTTGATTCCAAGGTAGGCAGCATAGCAGAGAAACATGGCAGAGAAGAGCTGTTCATGGCATGGGGATTGAGAAGAAGAGAAAGACAAGGAAGGAGCCAGGAAGGGAGATAAATCCTTCCAGGTCATGCCCACAGTGACCTGCCTTTTCTAACCAGGCGTTTTCTCTTAATAGTATGTAAGTATAATACCCCATAATCCAGTCATCTTCCAAAAGTCCCAACTACGGTCACATGAAGCTTCAGGGGGACTTCTAGATATAAACAGTAACAGATAGTTTGTTTCTTTTCTTTCTTTCTTTTTTTTTTTTTTTGTGGAACCAGGGATTGAATTTCCGCCCTTGTGCTTGCCAGGCAAGCGCTTATTCTACTGAGCCATCTCCCTGGCCCCAGGTAGTTTATTTTTAAAATAAAAATAACCTAAATGCTTATGAGCACATAAATGAATTAAATTATGGTGTATATATGCATGCAATAAATACTTCTCAACAAAGAAAAGAATTGAATGTTTACAAAGTTATAACATATATGGATTCAAAATAATCACACTGAGTAAAATGAACCAGATGGTTAAAAATTACAAACAATATGATCACAGCTATAAAAAGTATTAGAAACTAACTTAGCCACAAAGTTAGAAGCAAATCAGCAGCTGCCTAGTGACAGACTGGGATTGGAGATAGTGAGGTATATTTAGAACTTCAAATGATCATGAGGAAAATTGGTATTTATTATCTTGATTGTTGTGGTTTTGTGGATATATACATAGATCTTTAAATATATGCAATTTATATGTCATCATGCCTCAAGAAGCATGTTAATACAAACAAAAAGGTTCTGTTTGGATTAGCCCTCCAAGCATAATAGAGGACAATACATACATACTCCTTATTTTCTGTCTTTTTTGTTGTTGTTGTTTTGTTTTGTTTGAGTCAGAATCTTGGTATATAGTTCAGGCTGGCCTTAAATTCACCATGTAGTTCAGGTTAGGCTTGAACTCACAATGATCCTCCTGCCTCCGCCTCCCAAGTATACCATCATGTCTGGTGGGTTTTTACTGTAAATTTTTACTTTCATGTAATGGTAGGCAGCTGTACATCTCAGTACCTTTGCCTGGAGGATACAGGAAACAATCTTTGTGTTTACCTACTTGGTATGATGAAAGGTAAGGTATGTGCATGTGTGCAAAGGTGTCAACAGGGGCTGGGGAGATAGCTCAGGAGCATAAACACCTGTCTGGCAAGCACAAGCTTGTGAGTTTGATCCCCAGTACCGAAAAAAAAAAAAAAAAAAAAAAAAAGAAAAGAAAAGAAAAAGAAAGATGTCAACCAGGATTTACACCCACATTATCCTCTGTGGAACAGTTTTTGTATGTGTTTATCTGAGCATCACAGAAAGTCTAATAGATCCACACAACTCCAGAGTTTCTCTAAAAAAGGTTTCCGTTGATTTTTCTGGTAGAAGTAGCCCAATTCACCACAATGGCACATGAAGAATCAGATCTGCAAGTTTTGGAGATCAAAAGTGCATCATCAGGGGCTGGGGAGACAGCTCAGTAGAATAAGTGCCTTCCTGGCAAGCACAAAGTCCTGAGTTTAATCCCCAGTACCAAAAAAAAAAAAAAAAACACATCATTCTAAAAGTGCATCATCAGATTGCTCATGCATGCATGATAAAAATGATCCATTATGGTAAAATACATGCTTTCATAACTGAAGAGTGTTGGGGGGTGATGAAATGAGGATGAAGGCTTTGATGTTGGCCATGTGAGCCAACTTAATATACATTTGATTTTTTAAAATTTTTTTATTTTCTGTATTTTAGGGAAGGGTCTACAGGGTGTACTGGGTCTCACTACTAGATTGGACTCATAGTGATCTGCCTGTTTACAGCCTCCCAAGAGCTGGGATTACAGGCGTG